TATATTATTAGGTATCATACCTAAGATATTGGAAAATAAGGTTTCTCTACAACGAAGTTTTTCATACTATGCCAGGGTCGGTAAGCAGTCTTAGGATACCTAGTCTTAAACTACTTAAGTTCTGATGAATATATATATACAATGCGTTTATTAGCAATCAACATAGAACTGCGCAACATGAAGTTTCTTCAAATTGGACGACATTACATATTAAGTTTGTTGTTTGTTATAACGAGCATATTTAACCTTCGAAGTTATTCAAGATTTGTTGAAAAAGATGTTGACATTCAGTTTATATGAACCAGGCTTTTTGTCCGTACGAACATCATTAAAAGTGATACAAGGCAGGAGTTTCAAAACGTACGCGAACTTATCGTCAAGCAAGCGTGTCGAGTGGACTTGACTTTCAGTAAAATGGTAGATACTTTCATTGACAAATTGGGTAGTTGTTTCTTGTAATTTTAACAACAAGGACATTTAATATTGCAGTATAGAAACATTCTTAAGTATAACATAACATAACATCACGCCTTTTATCTACCCCGAAGGGATAGGCAGAGGTGCACATTACGGCACTTAATGCCACTGTACAATGTAACACCCACTTTACACTATTTATGTTATGAGTCCCATGTAATAGGGGGTGAGCCTATTGCCATATACCGGGCCCATTTCCAGACTCCGAGCTACTACTGACGTTTTAACAAACCCAGTAATACTTTATCCGACCCGGGAATCGAACCCGAGACCCCTTGCCCGGCAGTCGCATTTCTGACCACTCGGCCAATCAGGCAGTCTTAAGTATATTCTATTTATTTACTACAATCCCGGTAATCCTAACGATTAAATTTCTTCGCAAATTCCTTTCTTTGTGTTCCATTATAACTTTAATTATCCGAGCAATTGTGTTGCAGACCTGTCTTCAGATGGTTTAGTCTATTGTCTTTTAGATAAATTAATCTACCCAGGAATTATGTTATTACAATAGACATCAAGCATTAATTTATTAATTTTATCGGGTATTACACACAGATATTTTGATTCGTGAAATATAGAGGAATCAGATAACAATGAAAAGAGCACAGAGATTAAATCGTTTCGATATCGGTTTTCATATTGGGGTTTCGTATCGAATGTGTACTGAGTGCCAAGCACGAATAACTATCGCATTCGTAACGTAATAGTATCGAGCGCGTTCGGCGCTGTGATTGGCCGGCTCAAGTGAACCAACCAATCAGAACGCTTAACCCATTTGGATCTGCCGTCCCCATATGGGGACAGGTTTTCTTTTACCCGCTGGTTATTAATTATTTTAGCTATCTTCACATTTCATAGGTATTTATAATGAGGAGTAGTGTACTTTCCTAAAATTATTAGAACTTTTGACAAATTGCTACAAAAAAGGGGTCATATTGTCAATTTTATCAAGAGGAAGTGAAATGGGAATTATTATCGAAAGCAGAGGCGTTTTGTA